AAGAACACCTGGTATCATCACTATCTGGTAGTGACTCAAGAACACCTGGTATCATCACTATCTGGTAGTGACTCAAGAACACCTGGTATCATCACTATCTGGTAGTGATTCAAGAACACATGGTATCATCACTATCTGGTAGTGACTCAAGAACACCTGGTATCATCACTATCTTGTACTGACTCAAGAACACCTGGTATCATCACTATCTGGTAGTGACTCAAGAACATCTGGTATCATCACTATCTGGTAGTGACTCAAGAACACCTGGTATCATCACTATCTGGTAGTGACTCAAGAACACCTGGTATCATCACTATCTGGTAGTGACTCAAGAACACCTGGTATCATCACTATCTGGTAGTGATTCAAGAACACCTGGCATCATCACTATCTTGTAGTGACTCAAGAACACCTGGTATCATCACTATCTGGTAGTGACTCAAGAACACCTGGCATCATCACTATCTTGTAGTGACTCAAGAACACCTGGTACCATCACTATCTGGTAGTGACTCAAGAACACCTGGTATCATCGCTATCTGGTTGTGACTCAAGAACACCTGGTATCATCACTATCTGGTAGTGACTCAAGAACACCTGGTATCATCACTATCTGGTAGTGACTCAAGAACACCTGGTAGTGACTCAAGAACACCTGGTATCATCACTATCTGGTAGTGACTCAAGAACACCTGGTATCATCACTATCTGGTAGTGACTCAAGAACACCTGGTCTAGGTACAGTCAGAATCGTACAATCGACTTTGCTTTCAGCAGGGCGGTTCAGTCGCTTTGCTTTCAGCAGGGCGGTTCAGTCGCTTTGCTTTCAGCAGGGCGGTTCAGTCGCTTTGCTTTCACCAGGGTGGTTCAGTCGCTTTGCTTTCACCAGGGTGGTTCAATCGCTTTGCTTTCACCAGGGTGGTTCAGTCGCTTTGCTTTCACAAGGGTGGTTCAGTCGCTTTGCTTTCAGCAGGGCGGTTCAGTCGCTTTGCTTTCAGCAGGGCGGTTCAATCGCTTTGCTTTCAGCAGGGCGGTTCAGTCGCTTTGCTTTCACCAGGGTGGTTCAGTCGCTTTGCTTTCACCAGGGTGGTTCAATCGCTTTGCTTTCACCAGGGTGGTTCAGTCGCTTTGCTTTCACCAGGGTGGTTCAGTCGCTTTGCTTTCACCAGGGCGGTTCAGTCGCTTTGCTTTCAGCAGGGCGGTTCAGTCGCTTTGCTTTCAGCAGGGCGGTTCAGTCGCTTTGCTTTCAACAGGGTGGTTCAGTCGCTTTGCTTTCAGCAGGGCGGTTCAGTCGCTTTGCTTTCACCAGGGTGGTTCAATCGCTTTGCTTTCACCAGGGTGGTTCAGTCGCTTTGCTTTCACCAGGGTGGTTCAGTCGCTTTGCTTTCACCAGGGTGGTTCAGTCGCTTTGCTTTCAGCAGGGCGGTTCAGTCGCTTTGCTTTCAGCAGGGTGGTTCAGTCGCTTTGCTTTCACCAGGGCGGTTCAGTCGCTTTGCTTTCACCAGGGCGGTTCAGTCGCTTTGCTTTCAGCAGGGTGGTTCAGTCGCTTTGCTTTCAGCAGGGTGGTTCAGTCGCCCTGCTTTCACCAGGGCGGTTCAGTCGCTTTGCTTTCAGCAGGGTGGTTCAGTCGCTTTGCTTTCAGCAGGGTGGTTCAGTCGCTTTGCTTTCAGCAGGGCGGTTCAGTCGCTTTGCTTTCACCAGGGCGGTTCAGTCGCTTTGCTTTCAGCAGGGTGGTTCAGTCGCTTTGCTTTGCATCCACAATGTGTAGGGCATTATAAAATCCTTATAACATGTGTGCTTTGTGTGGACGTTTCCTGAACCACAGCGTATATAAGAAGGATTGTGTCTGTTCATTGCGTTGACTGTTTGTATAACACACTAGGTAGTGGTACACTGTAGACATTATACCCGTTTGTTTACAAACACGCTACTAAACTCATACCTTTGACAATAAGCAGCAACATAAAGGCACGAGTTACAATATGTAGTAAACTTGATGTGTTTACTGCCAGAACGACACTGGCAGGTGTGCGGTGGTTAAACACATTGATGTCAATATTTGACCTGGGCTAGTTATGTTTTCATAATCAAATGGTCTGTGGCAAAGGACGGACACACTGGACAGACAAGAAAACGGACAATTAGACAGACAAGTAGACAGGCAAGTAGACAGGCAAGTAGACAGACAAGTAGACAGGCAAGTAGACAAACATGTAGACAGGCAAGTAGACAGACATGTAGACAGGCGAGTAGACAGACATGTAGACAGACAAGTAGACAGACAAGTAGACAGACATGTAGACAGACATGTAGACAGACATGTAGACAGGCAAGTAGACAGACATGTAGACAGACATGTAGACAGACATGTAGACAGGCAAGTAGACAGACATGTAGACAGACATGTAGACAGACAAGTAGACAGGCAAGTAGACATACAAGTAGACAGACAAGTAGACAGGCAAGTAGACAGGCAAGTAGACAGACAAGTAGACAGACATGTAGACAGACAAGTAGACAGACAAGTAGACAGGCAAGTAGACAGGCAAGTAGACAGACAAGTAGACAGGCAAGTAGCCGGGCAAGTAGACATACAAGTAGACAGGCTTCCCTCTGATGTTACTTCTGAACGTGGTGCAATACAATGTGTCTTAATGGATCAATCAAGGTGTGTGTTTATGAAACAAAACTGCGGTCATTGGTACCAGGTTGTATGCGTCAAAAGAACGGAATCATCCTGTCTTATGTTAATACACGCCACATATAATGTCCTGATGTACGAAAGATTACGAAGCACAAATACTAATACATAGCACACAGACCGTTTTATTCATTTCAACCCATGTCGCTTTGTTGACGTGTGGTTTGTGTCAATGGAGGCACCCAGAGAACAATACAGCAGTGAAACAGGATTAATTCAATCGTGTGTGCGTGCGTGTATGTGTGTGAGTGCGTGTGTGTGTGTGCGTGCGTGCGAGCGTGCGTGTGCGTGTGCGTGTGCGTGTGTATGTGTGTGTATAGGCTTGTATATGTGAATGTGTGTGTGTGTATGTATGTGTATGTGTCTGTGTGTATGTATGTGTATGTGTCTGTGTGTATGTGTGTGTATGTGTCTGTGTGTATGTATGTGTATATGTGTGTATATGCTTGTGAATGTGTATGTGTGTTTGTGTGTTTATGTATGTGTGTGTATGTATATGTACGTATATGTATGCCTGTATGTATTTGCACGTATGTATGTGTACGTGTGTGTATGTACGCAATGGTGTTCTCAGACTATACATTCTACATTTGAAAGTTTTAAAGGCGACAATGCGTACCACATGCAAGCGTTATATAACACATCTAACTGGCGAAATGATTTCAACAACATAAACAAAACAATACACCTGTATGTGAACAGGAAAACACAAACTCCATCCTTCACCTTCAAAACGTGGTTTACGAGTTTGCTTGTATTGACATTAAGTACTTAACGACCTGGAGGCAAGTCTATACCAGCAAACACCTTCAAACGTTTGGCTGTGCACTTAGGCGTTCAATTAGCCCTTGGACACTGTGTTTGTCGCGTAACTCCCCAGTCGCGGGCTGGTTCTAAATGCCCATTGTCGTCTCTCTGTGATCACATAAAACATAGGGTATTACGTTCGTTACAAGTAACTGCTTCTATTGTGTGATGAGTATTGATTCAACACGCAACGTGGACTCCGTGTAAAACATACCCCACTCCGTGCCAAGTCTCCGGGTGTTATATTATTGGGTTAAATGATCTAATGACTGGTGTTTGTTAAACGTTGCCCGGCGCACGGGGTCCGCGATTTACACGGCAGGTTATCTTCATATCGCTGCGCGCGTCACAGGGCGACACTAATCGAAAAAAAAGTAATAAGCTGGAGAAAGACTTCACAGACTGACAAACTGAGCCAATAGACTACCCCGGTCGATACGTCAACACAGGGGTGTATGCTATTCGACGAGGCAGTCCGCGCGGGGATATGCCACGTTTGGTGTTTTGGGGAATAGTGAGTGAGTATGGTTTTACGCCGCTTTCAGCAACATTTAGCACAGTAAGGGGCGTCAGACATTGTACATACATATTCTGTAGGAATTAATACAATGGTTTGGCATGAAGACTGAACGCTTTTAAAGTTAGGCTGCATGGCATCACCTGTATTAGAATAACACTTGAGATAGATATAGATGCTATATTTGTCTTTATTATGGTACTAGCTTCAGACACGGATGTTATTCTAATGGCGGAGTGCTCTTCCGACTGGTATTCCCACTTTGGTGGACTGTCGCGACGTCAACAGCGTAAATTGGTTAACATTATTACGTTAACGTAGAAGAGTATTCAAATATCGAGAAAACAAAATGGCTTATATACGCGCAAATATTAAGAATTTTAAGACATCGGAAATTACCATATGACCTGTGATTGGTGCATATATTGCTGTTTTTAATGACATTTCCTGTTTATGTAGATATAAATATTGATTGATATTGTGTCATTGGTCAGTAAACTGATGATAATTTGATTATTTATAAACCTTGTATATCGCAGCTGATACATAAACTACTCACATAGATCTCAATTGCGTGGATAGATGCTCATGTTGTCAATCACTGGATTGTCTGGTCTAGACTCGATTATTTACAGACCGCCGTCACAAAGCTGGCTTATTGCTGAGGGCGGCATTAAACAACAAACAAAGAAACAAAACATGTTTGGAACTGAAATGCTTCTTAGTTTAACTTTCGAATCCCGGTTCGCCCCGATTATGTTTCTAGGTTTGTCAGCACCATACCCGTGCTCGTGGGTTTCACCGAAGTGGTAAACGTCTGAGCCCTGCATCACTTCGGGCTTTCCTCCCACATTAAGCTGACACGCCGCGATATGACTGGAATACTGTTAAAAGCAGCGTTAAACCCAACTCACTTTGTTTATCTATGTTGTGGAGAGTGTAAGTAACACTGTGCCTGTGTCTGTGTTCCAGGGGGATGAGGTAACCGGCTGGCAGAGACACAAGAGCAGATAATGGCAGGGGACAAGCACGACCACCACGGCAAGAAGCCCGTGAAGGGGGGACGGGTCCAGCCCACGCACCACGGTCATCACCGCAGACCCAGTGGTTCCAAAACAAAATCAACCAAAGCGAACAAAACCGAGACTGAACCAAACCTTAAACCAAAGGCCCCACAGATCGAGACTCCCCCAGACAATGGAGTCGGCAACGTTGACAATGACGCCGATTCCCGGCAGGAGGAACAGGTGTTTCAGAACGGGGAGGAACGAATCCTTCTTGCTCGCAACGATGACAGCAATATGGACGATGACGTCATGTCCACTAAGAGCGCAGACGACAGGCCGACTTCCGGTGTGAGCCTGGCGGTGGAGGATGAGACTGGGCGCACGACCCCGTATCACCACAGGTATAACGATAACTTTGATATCAAGTCCTTCAACAGCAGCATCGGGGACTTCTTGGAGGTGTTTTCCGAGCCACGGTACCAGGAGGTGGATTCCGACTACCCCGTGGACGACCTCATCTCCGTCGTGTCCATGGTGTCAGCCAGTATCGAGGAGTTCAAGACGTACACGTCGGACTCACAGCGGCAGCTGGAGGATCTGCGGGACAAGATGAGGACGGTGAAGGAGAACATCCACATGAGCGTCACCAGGCAGGCCTTCGACATCAAGTCAGGTCAGTCTCGTGTCTCCTTTACTGTGCTCATGTCTGTATCCTGTCTGCCTAACTCTGGTACTGTCAGTTGAAGTCAGTATCATGTTCTGCCTAAATCTGGTACTGTCAGTTGAAGTCAGTATCATGTTCTGCCTAACTCTGGTACTGTCAGTTGAAGTCAGTATCATGTTCTGCCTAAATCTGGTACTGTCAGTTGAAGTCATTATCATGTTCTGCCTAACTCTGGTACTGTCAGTTGAAGTCAGTATCATGTCCTGCCGAATTATCAAGCTGTGGTACTCTGTCAGGTCATGTGAGTCTCATAATTATCAAGCTGTGGTACTCTGTCAGGTCATGTGAGTCTCATAATTATCAAGCTGTGGTACTCTGTCAGGTCATGTGAGTCTCATAATTATCAAGCTGTGGTACTCTGTCAGGTCATGTGAGTCTCATAATTATCAAGCTGTGGTACTCTGTCAGGTCATGTGAGTCTCATAATTATCAAGCTGTGGAACTCTGTCAGGCCATGTGAGTCTCATAATTATCAAGCTGTGGTACTCTGTCAGGCCATGTGAGTCTCATAATTATCAAGCTGTGGTACTCTGTCAGGTCATGTGAGTCTCATAATTATCAAGCTGTGGTACTCCGTCAGGTCATGTGAGTCTCATAATTATCAAGCTGTGGTACTCCGTCAGGTCATGTGAGTCTCATAATTATCAAGCTGTGGTACTCTGTCAGGTCATGTGAGTCTCATAATTATCAAGCTGTGGTACTCTGTCAGGTCATGTGAGTCTCATAATTATCAAGCTGTGGTACTCTGTCAGGTCATGTGAGTCTCATAATTATCAAGCTGTGGTACTCTGTCAGGCCATGTGAGTCTCATAATTATCAAGCTGCGGTACTCTGTCAGGTCATGTGAGTCTCATAATTATCAACCTGTGGTACTCCGTCAGGTCATGTGAGTCTCATAATTATCAAGCTGTGGAACTCTGTCAGATGAAATCAGTATCATGTCCTGCCTAACTCTGGTACTCTATCAGGTCATCTGAGTCCCATGTTTATCAAACTATGGCACTGTGCCACGTCAACTCGCATTCTTCTTAAATTCTCAAAATATGTTTGAAGAGATACGAGTATACATTGTCCGATCCTTAAAGCACAACGTATCCGTGTGTATCTCGAACATTCTTGGGGCAATCTTCCAAATACATAGGCAGGAATGGTGTGGCACTCTCCTTTGTTGAGAACAATTCAGAAGTCCTCTGTCATGGCGTTTGTTATCTACGGGCTTGTGTCGCGTACACGACCGATAAATAGAACCGACAGATAAATATAGAATACTAAACGAGCTCCCGTGTAATACCAATTTTATGAAATGAGTGAATAGTTGTGGTATCTGACGAGCGAAAGCGAGTCAGATACCACAACTATTCACGAGTTTCATAAAGTTGGTTTTACACGGGAGCGAGTTTAGTATTTTATTTATTACTTGCAATTTATAACGTTTTTTGAATTATACTGTTGAGTATGAATAGGCTGACACCTTCATGATCCACGACATAGTCCAATTGAATTTAACAGAATAATACTTCAAACACGTCAAAAGTTGAAACGTATGAATTTCATACCATACAACGGGCCTACCTTTAGAATTCACAAAATTATCGTAGGGCTAAAACTTTCGCATCTCACATACTTTAACTTAGACCAACGACTGTCGTTGCGCTACAATATGATCGCCTTGTGGAACGGGCCTTGCACCTCAAAGTTTTCAATAACGTCTCAATACCCGATGACGTAATTTGGGGAATTTTGATGCAAGATCCATCGGCTAAACAATGCCATGTGACGTCAGCATAGCAACAAGGTTGCTGGGGTCATCGAGTGTGCATAAGCTCCTTTCAGTGATCTATCAACTCCACACGCAATGTCGTTGAATAAGCCAAGGGATGTTGAGAGCTTTCAATATTTGTTCGTGAAACGTGTTCCGAGAGTACATAAGCACGCGTTTTGGTATTACACAATGTGTAATAAAGCTGTATGTTTATTAAACGGGTGATCTCTTCACGGGCAAGTAATAAAATCACGTTTATTGGTCAGTTAGAAATATGAGTTAGAGTTTCATTGTAATATTGTAGAGAGAAAGTTCGATGCGACCAATCTGCCAACAGAGGGCTCTGGCATAACCAGTTTTGTTTTGTTTTATCCGGGCTTGGCGGAAGTAGTCGAACGTGAGATTGCGTTATGACATCATCATTTGTTCATGACGTCATCAGTGCATCGTTTGACGTCATCGGAACATCTGATTGTCTTCACTGACGTTTATCACTCTTCTACCCAGAGTTCCATGCGACCAACATTGTACCTCACACTCCGGCCGCATGGAACTCTGGGTAGGAGAGTGATTGTACCTCTGCCACAGGCCAGCGCCATGTGACGATTCGTCACTTCTTACACCGTCCATTCAAGATATTGAATATGTTTTTCATCTGTTTCTTTTTGACAAGTCTACACATCTAGAAAACATATGTCATAGAATGGTTAACTTTCATTTCGAAAATATCCTCAATCGTTAAAAACCATTTCCACTTGCGTAGTTATCTTTTGTTTACATTGGTTGTACGGCTCCACGTGCTGTCATGGAAGGCCTACGGAGAGCTAGCGATGCGGTCACTTTGATGTGTAAATGTGTATTGTCATGCAACTCACTGTCGCAGTAGTAGTGGCATATCTTTATAATTATGCAACACAACATGTAAATCTCCCCCAGATACTTGCATTAGTCCGTTCTATTCTGATTTGTGAAAAAGCGCGTTTGTTTATAAAGAGGAGAAAAGTCCGGTCACGTGATATGCAAATTAGCCTGTTGCAGTGCTGTTATGCTAGGTCACCAACTGCGCCGTGTGTGACGTTTATCTCCAAAGCAGACATGTCTAACAGTTTATTTCAATATAATTAAATTTTCGCAGTGTTCATTGTAATTACCGCATTCTGATAAGCTGAATTGGTCACGTGTTATTGCATTCATTTCCCAATGAATGTAACAAATTAAGCCACGCTTACCGAAGCGGACTAATTTCATTACTACGGAATGTCGGGGAATCCCAATATTACAGTCTAGGGAATGGCCATTCTGCTCACGTGTATCGTCATGCACAGGACATGTTGCGAAGTGCATGCATATTTATTATCCAAACAACCCTTTGAGCCCAAAGACCGAGAAGGAATGAAACAGCAAACGTGCAGGTTCTCTCGCCTGCTTTTTTCCGCTAGCCTGGGTTCCACAAATTTCCCGGATTCATAGTTTGCACATCGGTATTTCGATTCATACCTCCATGAACCGGAAAAAACGGCAGTCAATCCTTAAGTACATAGGGGACATGGTGAGACTTGACCTTACACCATAGTATGGGTGTCTGAACAATCCACAGGTTCTTAACAGATAGTCGCTAATTCGTCGTAGCTCGTGCATTCTGAGACTTTCTTTCGGGAACAACACACACGGGACACAATGTTCCGGAGGGGAGTCAGAAATCAACACCGAGGTTGCTAAAGATGGTACAAACGAGTGATACACTGTTTCCGTCGTTTAGGTACTGCACTGACGTATTCCCGTGACGTGACACATGTTCATACTGAACGTGAGTGAGTGAGTATGGTTTTACGCCGCTTTTAGCAATATTCCAACAATATCACAGCGGGGGACACCAGAAATGGGCTTCACACATTGTACCCATGTCGGGAATCGAACCCGGGTCATTGGCGTGACGAGCGAACGCTTTAACCACTAGGCTACCCGACCGCCCCTCATACTGAAAGAAAGTACTAAGTACTACTACTAAAGACATTTTAATACTGTATCAACGTATTAATGTATTCTCTCTAGATGTTGTTTAAGACATGTATTATATGAGGATAAAGAGTACCTAAGTGAGTTGTCAGTGCTGTGACAATGGCATTAAAGTATCGCACGCTTATTGTAATTCAGCCATGAACGTTCTGTGAGGAAGTAATGTGTTATGCAACTTTTAAAGTTTGGCATTGACGTGTTTTGCACGTGTGTTATTGAAGTACATAACACACTGCAGTGTTCCGCTATTCATATAGTCAGTGCAGTGTACAGTGCTCTTGTGTGGTCGGTGGTAGTCAGGGCGTGGCTTCATTCAGTACCTGCAGACCACATATGTTACGTAAATAAGCGCGACAAAACCTGTTTCATAATCATAAGAAACCTCTGCTAAAAGCAGTGCTCACTGTAAGATTCCGTCATGCATACACGTGTGTGTATGAATCACTACGAAGGCTGTCATGAAAACAAGATAACATGATAAAACATGACATAATACCAAACATGACTCATATTTAAACGTTAAAAACAAATATCATTTACTATATTTATATGAAAGTATAAACGTGATTTATTATTTCACACGGGAGATATAACATGTTTTGCATAAAAGAGTTTAATGAGAAAATACATCCATAAATAAAACATTTGGCTTCTATTCTCAATTAATTTATGACCAGACCAGCGTTTCTCGGAAATATGAATGGTGGTAGGTCACTCGATGACGTCATATTAAACGTCATAGCCAGAGAACAGCCAGCCTTGATTATCCGCCGAAACAGATTCCACTGGGTGTAAAAGGCCAAACACTGATGGTGAGGTGAGGTGAAATGGGGTTTAACGTCGCGTCCAAGATTATTGCACTTATATAGCGACGTGCATGCACGTATAGTGTGTGTGTGGCTGCTTGTACTAGTCCGGACTGATGCCGATTTATAGTGCTAGCTCACTGAGATACCATGCCGCAGTTTAACATGAATACCCCACTCAGACACAGTATACCTTGTTTTAGCCCCTTAATGCCGAACGCCAGACATGGTAACAACAAGTACAATCTTTTAACGTCTTTGTGTATGACGTGGCCGGGATCGAACCCTGGACCTTCCGCTCTCCGGGCGGACGCTCTACCACTAGACCACGGAGGCGGTCTCAAACAGCGATGGACACCATATGA